CCATTATATATATATATATATATATATATATATATATATATATATATATATATATATATAATATATATATATATATATATATATATATAGCTTCTTGCAATACAGACATTAGTATAATTGGATCCTCGTCTCCAATTGCTGCATCTCTATTTCTTATTTTTGCTGTTTGTTTTTGGGAGCGATCTTCTATCGCATCTTTCCCGCTGTTTTCTACAGTACCATCCATTTTATTTCCTATGTCTCTTACTATGACCATTCTTTGCAAGAACTATAACTGTTTAAAGTACCGGATCTACCAACTACAACCCCGGATCCAGATTTTATGGATTTCTGCCTATAGATCTTTCGAAATTAACATAACCTTATCCCTTTTTATCTCTTTTGGAATTACAACCCTAAATTTAAATTTATTGATGTTTTTAGATACCTGGAAGTGGCTGTTCATTTATGGAGGTGCATTACTATTTTCGACTTGGATACACAACAATTATTACAACATTGGTGAGATAAGTATGTGCAACGATATGCAAAAATTTAGCAGCATTCTTAGCATTGCCTACTAATGAAGAAAAATGGAAAGAATTAACATCTGGATTCGAAATACACTATAACTTTCCTCACTGTATTAGCGCAATTGATGAAAAACATATAAGATTAATTAAACCTTCATATTTGGGTTCATTGTATTATAATTACAAAAATTAATTTTTACCTTCTGTTGCTTGCTATATGTGATGCAAATTACAACTTTATTTATATTAATATTGGCGCATATGAAAAGGCAATGTCTCATCTGTGTTCAAGGATACTTCATTTAATAATGAATCAGTAAATCAATCGTCGTAAATCAAACATAGACTCAGACCACTGTTAAATGATCTCAACACTAAGGGCTAGAATTTCAAATTCCAAAACAGAAAAAAAAAATAGATAGAAAGAAATGGAATGTACAGAAGCTGAGAGCTCAAACTGTTGCAAAAGAGTACTGGCAAAATATTACCAATAGGTTAAGAAATCAAAGTTAAAGTATATAAAGCACGATAAAGGAAGATCTTAAGTCAGCAGCATAAGATGAAATAGGAACAGAAACTTGTACCCGAAAAAATCACTGGTTTGACGATGAATGCAAAGACGCAACACAGAAAAAAATGAAGCCTATGCAAAAATGCTTACCTGCTGAACTAGAAAAAGTGTAGAGAATTACCGGATAAAATAGAAGAGAAGAAAAGAAAATACACATAATGATGAAACGAAACCACTTAAAAAACGGAACTTCAATATATAGAAAACCTCAACAGAGAGAAAGAATTCAGAACATTCTATAAGAAAGTTAACATCAACAGAAAATAATTCAAGGCAAACACAAATCAATGTAGAAATTTGAATGGCGATCGATTAGCAACGTACTAAATCGATGGACGGAATATTTTAAACAGATACTTAAGATAGAGGAAGAAGAAGAAAACCCGGAAGACGAAAGCTTTGAGGTAAGCGGAGCAGATGACAGGAAGAATCCACCAATGCTCTTGAAAGTTAAAGACGCTGTAAACAAACTAGCCAGAAACAAATCACCCGGAATAGATAATATCCCAGCAGCTTTTAAAAAAAATATGGATACAGAAGTCCTTTCCCAGTGATTGGAATATTGGAATACTTTGCACCATACACAAAAAGGGAGATATCTTTAAATGCTCTAAATATCGAGGAATTACGCTCCTAAATGCAGCCTATAAAATATTCTCGAATATACTATGTCATCGTATGGCACAATATGCAGAGCGAATAATAGGACAATACCAGACTGGTTTCAGAGATGGTAAATAAACAATTTATCAGATTTCAACCCTGAGACCAATTTTAGAGAAAACGCTGGAATACGGTGTAGACATGCACCACATATTTATAGACTACAAGGCAGCCTACGACTCTGTAAATGGAAGAGAATTGATTGGAGCAATGTCAGACCTAGGAGTACTAAATCAGTTGGTGAGTCTAATCAAACTAATCCTTGAAAAAGTTGAATGCAGAGTACGAATCCAGAGGGAACTCTCTGAAACTTTTAATACAAATAACGGGCTACGTCAGGGAGACCCACTCTCCAGTATACTATTTAATCTAGCTGTGGAAACAGTAATACGTACGTCACAAATCACAACTACCGGTTCAATATATAAGCAACAAGAGACGTAATTTAGCACTAAAGGAAGCGGCTAAAAAAGGGGTTTAATAATAAACATTAATAAAACGAAATACATAAAAATATGTACGCAACCACAAATACTACGGCCACTTGTTATAGAAAACGACGTTATCTAAGCAGTTAACGAATTTGTATACCTGGGAACGATCGTCTATACTGAAAATGACACTACCGCAGAATTTGCACGGCTAATAGATGCTATTTTGGGCTTAATCTCCTTTCTAAATCTACAGTTATATCAAGAAATACAAAAGTAAAACTCTACAAAACAATAATACGCCCAGTCCTAACATATGGTTCAGAAACCTGGACTTTAACAAAAAGCCATGTAAACATGTTAGGATGTTTCGAAAGAAAAAAAACTAAGGCGAATCTATAGAGTGGTAAATGAAAATGGTGTCTGGAGGAGACGATACAACTTCAAACTCTATAGAATATACCAGAAACCAGATATCATCATACATTAAGATAGGACGTCTGAGATGGGTAGGCCATGTAATGCGGATGAAGGAAACCGATCCAGCTAGAAAAACACTCCTTGATAGACTTATTGGTCAAAGAAGAAGAACAAGATTTCTAGATAACATAGACCAAGATATGAGAAATATGGAAATACGTGCTTGGCGGAGGATGGCGATGGATAGGGACGACTGGAAGAGAATTTTGCGGAGGCTTGGACCCACACAGGGTTGTAAAGCCGAAATGATGATGATGATGAAATCAATCTTCGTTACAAATTTCTAAATCTAATAAACTATTGGAAAATAACCCATATTTCTTTCAATATGTGTTTGTAGGTGATGAGGCATTTGGACTACATACACATATAATGCGACCGTATGGAGGAAATAGTCTCAGTCAAACTAAAGTAATAATTAGTTATAAGTTATCGAGAAGTCAACGATACACAGAATGTACCTATGGTATTTTATCCAATAAGTAGAGAATATTTCATATGCTATTGAATGTGCAAATAGATCTTGCAAAAAGCATTATTAAAACTTGTGGTCTGTTGTATAACTTCGGATGTATTCGAGATGGATATTCATGTGATGGCACCCTATAAATAACAGGCTTCAAAGATGGAATGCTTAACAAGAATTTGAATCGGGGAGGACAAACAGTAGAATCAAGTCAAAATGAACTAATTACCTAATAAAAATTAATAAAAACACCTAACTCTTTCTTTTCTCCAGAAGCCATTTCTTCACCACCAAATAGATTTATTTATTTCTCCCAACATTTCTTTTTTAAATCTCAGTTAGAGTTCATCATTTAATGAAGTATCCCAAAGTGAAAATCTGCACTCAATTTATATGATAAATCCCTCATAATCAAAACTCATTGATATTACGATAAAAAAACCCAATTTCGCAAGTAAAAATGTTCATTTTTAGCGCTGATTGCCAATAATTGATGTGCCAGTGAGTGATGCATTGTATAATATTTATATATTAAGGTGGCTGGTCACGCCACCAAACTGGATGGAGAAGCAAACCGACACCAAGTGAGATAATATGCTCCTAATGATTACGTGTGTTCTGAGTGGTGTTGCTACTGGTTGCGCTACCCTGGTGTTCTAGTGGGAATAGTGGGATATAGCTCTTAGAGAATATTAGCATGTTGTGTCTGGCTGGCTGTTAAATTACGAATCAACCAAAAACTGGTTTATAACATTATAATAATGAAAACTAACATGATGTGTACTTACTGGTATTTCATACAATTATCACTTAACTGTTTATAAATAAACATAAGGTTGAATGTTCGAATAATTAAACTTTGAGAGTATACAAGGCAACTATCAAACACGGTGATTAATTTAATCTTGCCCAAGTACTTTCGATCAATAGATCATCTTCAGGGGCATTTCGTCAGTTGTGGCCTATCCGACATATTAGAATGTCATAAATGTAAAATTTGGACATAACAATACAAAATACAATACACAAAGACAAACAAACACTTTAAAATTTTAAGGAGAAGCTACATGTTGTATAGAAGCCGGAGACAGAATGGGCTCGAGCCCATTTGTTTGTTTGTCTTTGTGTATTGTATTTTGTATTGTTTGTGTCCAAATTTTAACATTTATGACATTCTACTATGTCGGATAGGCCACAACTGACGAAATGCCCCTGAAGATGATCTATTGATCGAAAGTACTTGGGCAAGATTAAATTAATCACCGTGTTCGATAGTTGCCTTGTATACCCTTAAATGTTTATAAATAAACTGTTAATAATTACTGCACAAAGTTTTCAAATTAATTAAGATTAAAAATAAACATGCCTTTCGGTCGTTCATTCAGAGTCAAACTGCTAATAGTTAATTTTCTTTGGAGTACCCTTAAGCTTGTATTGTCTCAATCTTTTGTTATTTTTTCGATATTATATTTTCTCAAATCTTTTCTGATTGCTTTGTGTAATTCTTGGATTATTTTCCTTATTTCTTTTTGATCTGTATTATTTATATTGTCTTTTTATTAATATTGACGTGAATATATCTTTTTTTATTTATTAATTAGTGTTATGATTGAACTAGTTCTTTCTTTTTTGAAGTTTTTCGTCTTTCTTGTTGGACAATCTTTCATGCATTTCTCGAATAGCTTGTGTGTTGCATGAAAGCTAGAATAGCTGTTATAAAAGAAATATTCATTAACATTTTTTTTATTTTCAATGAATTTTCTCAAAAGTGTGTTAAAAATATCGGTATATCTAAACGAATCTTCCTGTATACTAAAAACGTTATGGTTGTTTAAGTGGGACTATAAATATATAACCGATGGACATAAACAAAACTTGTAGTTGTATATCGTTTGCGATTAAGACTAACCAAAATGAAAAAACAAATTCTCGTAGTACTATTTACAATATTGTTCAATGTTAACATAAATAATGCCTATTTACACCAATCTGGTATGTATTAAAGACTATATAAACAGTTTTATATTATTCAATGTTTTTATTTATATTACAATTATTGTTAGCCACTTTTTACCATAACGTCTATTACTACTATCATTTTTAGCTATACGCTCACACTTCCTCTAATGGAAGAAATCACTCATCCCAGATACCTACGGTATCAAAAGGATTGAGCTCTGGTGGGACTTTTTCCATGTTATTGAGTCCTAGGTGACTTGGTACGTCGGTGTATCTCTCAAAAATTTTCGCACGCATCTGGACGTCGAAATTACCACAGCTTTGTGCATGATCTTATATAGATGTTCATTTAGACCCAGCTTTTTATTTTTGTTAGGAGGTTTTTCGGAATGACTCCAGTGGTAGGAAGAATAATAGGTATCGTCTGGGTACTTTTCATTCTCCATTGTCTCCTTATTTTAATTTCCAAATCTCTGTACTTGCCTATATTTTCGTTGTACTTAACAAGCAGATTATTGTTGCTAGGTATCGCCCATCGATTAGAGTTATTTGTCTTGTTAGTTTTAACTAGCACGAGATCTGGTCTGTTATGTGCTACAGTTTGGTCTGTGAGCACAGTGAGATCCCAGTATAGCTTGTAGTTATGATTCTCAAGCATACTCTCAGGAACGTATTGATAAAATGGGAGATGGTTTGTTTGTCGAAGTCTCAGTTTAAAAGCTATATCTTGATGGAGAATCTTTTCCACTGAGTCGTGCCGCTTCCTTATATTCAGTTGCAGCAAATGCCTGGCAGCCTCCGGTAAGATGTTGGATAGTTTCTTAGGCTTGACATCCATATCGCATTTGTGGTTTTGGACTTGAGTGTCTTTTACGATCTATTTCAAGTAATTTTTGGTTGGTATAACCTGATCCTGAATGGTGAGTAATGAACCTTCTGTTTCAGGGAACATCTTTCCTGATGCCAGCCAATAGTTTTTGGTTTATGCGCATTTCTTGTTCCCTTAGTTTGATCGGTGTTGTGTCATCTACCGCACAAATCGCGCGATGAAGAGTAGATGTCTCCGCCTGCACCTGAAACTACCTGAAATCACTATCTAATATTATTATTATTATCTAACCCTTTAACTTCGTATTAATTAGACAATTTTATGTTTTAGATACAAGTGTAACACCACTAGATCTACATCCTCAACTTAAATTTGAGAGGAATGGCGATACTTTGTATTACTTTGGATATACATCTAAGGTAAGTATTTTGCTAATTATGTTAATTGGATTAATTAATTAAATTAATTATTAACAAGGATATTTCAATATTGTTTACTACTCTTTATTGATGACCAACAAATCTAGTTCATAACAAAAAACTCGGATATATAGACCACAATCCCATGGGACATTTTTAGGGGATTTTTTGACTTAACATGAAATACATATCTGTTTGCCAGAGGTACAGGACACTATGTCACAAATTTGTAATTTTACGTGAGAACCGTTTTAAGTTTATTTTTGTGTTTCTTTGTTCACAGGATGTATGTTAATACATATTATATCACAAACCCTTGTTTAATTTATTTTATAGATTATTATTTTTTATTTAAAGACAAAGTCGCGTCCACCTAATGGTTATTAGCGACGGATCTGTATAATTTTACAAGAATAGGTATATTACATGGTTACAAAAAGGATTTTTTTTACAAAATAGTACTAAAAAAAGTAAACAATCTTATACAAAAAGAAGTTAAATCTTATGGAACACATCGATAGCTTTTAAATTATCTCAATATAAGGTTGAATGTTCGAAATAAATGAACTTTGATGGTACACAAGGCAAATATCGAACACAGTATTTAATTAAATCTTGCCCAAGTAGTTTCGATCACAAGATCATCCTCAGGGGCATTTCGTCAATTGTGGCCTATCCAGCAATAACCGAATGTCATATATGTAAACTGGGACATAACAAATACCACTAAAAGACAAACAAACACTTTAAAATTTAAATTGAGAAGCTAACATTTTTATATTATTAAGAAGCCGTGAGACAGAATCTCTGTCTTCGGCTTCTATAATATAAAAATGTAGCTTCTTTAATTTAAATTTTAAAGTGTTATGTTTGTCTTTAGTGTATATTGTTATGTCCCAGTTTACATATATGACATTCGGGTTATTGCTGATAGGCCACAATTGACGAAATGCCCCTGAGGATGATCTTGTGATCGAAAGTACTTGGGCAAGATTTAATTAAACACTGTGTTCGATATTTGCCTTGTGTACCAGCAAAGTTTAAATTATCTATTAAGTTTTTGAATAACTATTTTGACCTAACAAAACAGATAAATTGGTAAAAGAAATAATAAATAAGACTTACTCACGATCAGTTTTAATTTAACTATCTAAACGACCGGTTTGCTTTCTACAATATGCAAAGCATCTTTAGGTCTCGATACAAAGTTAATTAAATGCTGAAATAATAAAACCCATATTAGGGTGTTGTCTTATAAAGATAGACAAAGATAAATTATATAAATTACAGTAATTATGCCAATATTACATGTCTGTGGTTTTTCAAAATGAATAAACTATTTAAGCAGACAAGGTAAGAACCACAAATTGGTATAAAATAGTTTATTAAATTGTAATAAATTAGTAAATAAATAAAACATTACTAACATGCCGGTACTCGTTTAATGAATGGTTGGAAGAACATAGTTCAAAGTATCCTGAATTGTTGAATGGAAAACTTAAGTTTTGCTATTGTAATTGTTTAACAATAAGGAGGGAAGTTCTTGAAGAAATAGGTTTTATCCAATGAAGTAGAGATATGTGTAATGTGATTGTTTGTTAGATGAGAGTGATGTTCAATATTATTGAATTATTTAAAAGTTATTTCTATTTATTCAAGAGATAATATTTATGAAATAATGTGTTATTTATTGAGATTTTATGAAAATGACAGTTGTATGACAATGAATGAAATTAGATGTACAAATTGTGTGGGTGTGCAAATCTTTTAACTTGTAATTATCAAATTTCTTTGATAAAGTTCTATTGACTTACATTATGGCAAATGATTGTAAAGTCCAGTATATAAAAATTATTAAAATTAAAACAATTAAGGACAATTCGGGACACACAGAAAAACTTAAAGGATTCCCACACCGACGCGAAACGTTTGAGACGTGAATTTTCCGTTGCGGAACATTCGCAGGGCGGGGCGGTAGCGGACAAGGCTTCCCCACATTGGTGCGAAACCCTACGCGACTGTTCGCGATACAAATGTGAACAAATTATATTTTTAGTCGTTTATTCGTAGCTTACAAATACATAATGACTTCGTCTGATGAAGAAGTTCTGTCTACAATTGGCACTTGCCGAAACTGAAAAAAAACAAAAACAGGTAGCTCCAGAAGCAAATAACTTGGTATGGGATACATTCAGTATTGTTAGTATCGACACATATTAGGGAAAGTAATTTGGGTTAACTGTGTATTGCTTCGAGAAGAACATCTAGTATTACAATTCATCATCATCATTGGCTTTTACAACTCTTCGTGAGTTTTTGCCGCGTTTACTATTGCCTTCCATTGATTCCGATAATGTGCTATTATTTCCCATGGCCTTACTTCCATCTTCTCCAGGTCTTCCCTGACTGCGTCTTTCCACCTTTTTCTAGACCTTCCTGTCGATCTTTTACCATCTGGTCTTTCCCAAAAACACATTGCTAATCAGTCTGTCGTCATCACTCCGTACCACGTGGCCTGCCCATCTTAATCTATTACCTTTTATGTATTTTACGATGTTTCCTTTCCCGAAGAGAGTCTCTATTCATTGTTGTATTGCTCCCCCATTCATTTGTCACGCTGTCCCTGCAAGGACCATATATAATTCGTAGGATTTTGCGTTCCCATACTAATAGCTTATTGATTTCTTTCTTACTCAATGTCCTTGTTTCACTTCCATATGTCACTGCTGGTCGTATTATGGTTTTGTATATTTGGATTTTGGCACGCCTTGAGAAGAATGATTTATTCCCCGCCAGTATTCGTATTTCAACCTCCCGTTCTCCTGTGTTTTCACTGGTAATTGTTGCTCGCTCCTTAGTATTAGAATTGGAAGTGCAAAAGCCAGCTGCTTCTTGTTTTTGTTGAAACTCCAATGAAACTTTTTTTCTTATATTTTTATAATATTCGCCCATAAGATGTCTTGCCTTACGATTCGCCGCGATTCCGCGTAGGCTGCAGCTGCAAAAGTTTCACGTCGGTTTGGGGAATCCTTAAAAAGGACTTAAAAAGGTGACGAAACAAACATTAATTTTAAAAAGGGAGGACTTAAATGCACTTAAAATGCACCCCATTTCCTGTTTTGATAATGTTTTAAAATATTTAATCTCGCCATGTCAGTTTGTTGACTAAATGCATCCCTAAAAATTTATTATGAGGATCTACTGTTATTGGTTTCCAGTATAATGTAAGATTTAACGCAGTACTTACATTTGCTATTTTTGCAAAAACCATGATTCTTGTTTTTATGGTAGAAAATTTAAAGCCAGTATTCAGAGACCATGTTTCCAATTTATTGATAAAGCTTTGCAAATATTTTGACATACTATCTATATTTTTTTCCTTTTGTAAATACCACTAAACCGTCAGCTTAAATCCGTGCTTTTAAAGGTTTTTCTACGTTTTTTAAAATATCAGTAATCGCTATAGAAAGAGTGTTGGGCTAAGAACAGACTCTTGTGGTACTCCATTTGTTAAGCAGTGAGTTTTCGAGCACGAATTGGAAACAGTGTCCCTATTCCACTCATATAACGTTTTTAAAATCCTGTGGTTTCCTAAAATCCAAGCCGTTAATCGATTCTGCCTAAATTCGTTTTGTTCAGTAATCAGTAATTGATTTTGTTTCAAATGTCCACATTAATCATCGAGTTAGAATCTATGGAGAAGCTATCAGCATATTAACGTATGTATTAAAAACGGCATAGGTAGGAGTGGCTAACGATAATACCAATATGGCGGTGACATCAGGGCCAGACTCAATAATAATAAAACTACTATACAAATATGACTAGATTATTCAGAAGATTTAATCATAATCTAAAAAAGTGCAATACATTTTATAATAAACTATGAATTTATTTATCTCGCGGTAAACACTAAAAGCACGATATATATATACATAAAGGTAAATTAATACAGTCAAATACTATATTAATTTTATTCTCTGAAGTACGGCCATTACTTTGTTTTACATATGTGTATCATAACCTGTGGAACGATATTCCTGAAAGATTTTTTTATTACCATTACTTCTGCTACTGCAACTACGTTGAGAACAAGAAACCATTATTATGCACTATCACAATATATTACAGTTTCTATAAAAGTATTATAAAACTGAAAATATTTGAAAAACAACAAGATTATAACCAAACATACCGGGTGGTGAATCGTCAAACGGTCCATAGGAAACTCAATGAGAAATTTTAAATTGTTGAATTGCTGCTTCCCTAATTATTTTAGAACAAAAGTCATAAAAAACTATTTGTAGAGGACTAAAATCTGAATTAAAAACAAATGTTAAAACCGTTCTACGAATCAAATGTACTTAAAAATTTTGCAAAATATAATACATTTTTCAGGCCACCCCTAAAAGTTAGGCCACACGTAATGCAAGAATATATATTAGGACGTTTGTGTTTTATCATATTAATGTCAGATGTTTGACAATTTGACTTGCCAATTTTTTTAGTTTATGATTAAAATTATAAACAACGAATTTTACTAAATACTACTACTAATGAACATTATTACTTTGTGAACAATAAATTATATGGTTTACAAATCGATCAATATAATGAAATGTACTCAGTTGACGAAAAATCGCATAATGTTGTATTCAGGCAATAGCGCGAACCTTTTCCTGCCACTACCGGATCTTTATTTAACGTAAGATATTCTAATTCACTAAAATTTAATTCCATGTTAAGTTATACAACAATTCAATGAATTCCAATAAACTGTTAGTGTGATCTTTATTCCTAATAATATATGATAATTTCTAAATATAAAACTATAACAAATGTTATAATAAAATATGAATAAAACATTTTTATTATTGCTTTTTTCTCCTCAACTGAGTACATTTTTTAATCAACTTAATTTTTTTTTAACAATAAATCACAAAATTTTCGCCATTTAGAATCATAGATAAATGTAATATAATTGATTTAAATATTATCAAATATCAGAAACAATAATATGACAAAACGCAACACGTAATACATATTTTTTCACAGAAAAATGTATTATATTTTACCAAAATTTTTGGAATACGTTTAAGTCGTAGAATAATTTTAACAGTTGTTTTCGATACATATTTGAGTCCTCTACAAATAGTTTCCCATGACTTTTGGTGTAAAATAATTAGGGAAGCAGGAATTCAACAATTTAGAATTTCCCATTGAGTTTCCTATGGACCGTTTGACGATTACACCACCCTGTATAACGATCTGTCAAAAGTTTCAAAACAATAATACCAATATGGCCGAAAGTTAGGTCGTTTTTAGTCACGTGATGCCCTCTCCATAAATTCTAACTCGATGACAGTTGAAATCTACTGTTAACTATTTTTTTCTAAAAGTTTGCACGTGAAATGGGTAATTGAGATTAGGCTGTATGAATTCCACACTATATCGTGATTTTTTGTCATTTGTACATGAAATGTAATGCGACTATTAATTGGTACGTCAGGATTTTCATTACTAGAAAGAGTATAGGTATCAGATCATGAATTTAAAGCATCTGAACGTGAATTTTGTCGTTTGAGAGACTTTCCTAAAAATCCGCTAGAACGTAAGTCATCTTTGGATACTATATTATTTTGTACTTTTAAGTGTTTAATAAAAGTCCTCTGTGGAGTACCACAAATTTTTCTAATTTTTTGTCAGACTTTCTTGGAGCTAGTTGTGTTATTTATTTCCGATACAAACTTCTGCCATGAATGCCTTTTGGCTTGCGTTATAGTAAGCTGTGCTTTTGCCTTTAATTTTTTAAAATTAATTCTGTCTTCCGGTTTCTTGTGCTTCTTGTAATTATTAAAAGCAGATTAACTATTTTTTATGACCTCTTCATATTATTTAGACCACAACGGTACTGGTGTACGTCCCTGTATTTGTTTTGTTTTACCAATATATAATATAGCACCTTCTAAAATTATTTCATTTAGTGATTTAATAGTTTCGTCAATATCATTGGTTATTTGGGTCCTAGATATGTGACTATCAATATACTAAAAAAATTAATCCCAATCTGCGTTGTTAGTTTTCCACTTTGGACTAAATTATTGATGTTTTTGCACATGGTTGAAGTTCGTAATAACTATGAGAAAGTGATCACTTCCATATGTAAAAGGCAATACTTCTTAGTCTAAACCTATGGTTAAGTAAGGATCAAGTTAGGATAAAGAAAGATCTAGAACTGACAATTCAACTGTCGATATATTAATTCTAGTAGAGTTGCCATCATTAAAAAGTTTAGATAATAATCTAAATGTAGTGGACATAGTACTGTTTACCTCTTCAAGGTATTTTGGGTCAGTGTTCTAAATGTTTACTAAAAATGCATTATATAATGTTAAACTTTAATTTATTTCTTCTTCGTAATAAGCATTACAGGCTAAAGTGTAAAACTTTGTTATATATGTTATAAATATTTGTTTACATTTAACGACAGGGATACTGTTAGAATACTAAAAGTAAATTAATTTACTGTTTGTATTTTGAGAACGGTTTCCGAAGTGGAAATTGAAACGTCAATAAGTGTATTTTAACCTTTAATTGTGGCTTATTCCCAGTTAAATAGTAGTTAAACATTTTTTGCTAAGATATTTTACACTATTACATAGTTCGTAAATGCATACAATATTTATAAATAAAAACTAAGATCCCACATGACTTTCAATTTAGTATGTATGACAATTTTTTGTTTTTCTGTTTAGGGCACTTGGTTACAAGCACTACAACATTGCAAATCTCTTGGTATGGATTTGGTTAGTATAGAATCGCAGGAGGAAAACGATTTCCTGTATGAACGGATGAAAGAAAACCGTAAGTGTGATGTTATTATAAATATTAAATATACATAATTCATATTATTAAAGAAACAATAGCAATACACTACAATCGTACGTTGGTACAGAGTTGACATAATTTATCTATATATGTGTTCACGTATTTTGTAGCCTTTCAATATGATGAAATTAAATAGATAGTTAATACTGTAGTAAGTATTCAGATTGTGAATATTTATTGAAATACTAAAAAATAATTTAGAAAAATCAGTATATTTCATATTTTTATTGTTACATTGCATGTTTACCATCTACTCTATACACAAAGTAATAAGTAAATATTCTGTTTTTTTTATTATTAAATTTGCAAATTTACAATCTACTATTACAAGCCATTAGTAAATATGAGTATTGCAAATACATGAAAGGAGAAATTATCCACTAATAATACTCCCAATACTAAGACTAACAAATTAAATTAATGTAGCATTATAATTTTAAACTAAAATTAAAATGAAAATTAAAATTAAAATTGAAATTAATGAATAAAGTCTGTTGTCCACTGTCTCTTCAATCTTCGTCTAACTTCTAGTTGGAGGTGTAGTTGCCTTGCTTTTGTAGTATTTTGGATTTGATTATCTGAATGATTTTGGTACTACAAGGCTTTTCACAGCCTCGTAGTTGCATTTCATATGTCCATATATGCTTTATTATACACTTAAATTTATTAACTTTATTTATACAAATTAAATTTATTTTCATGTTGATTTAGTTTTTTTTGTGCAAAGATGTGTGCTTTCCAAGTGAGTTTTTGAGCAAGTGTCATTTTCAGGTACTTGACTTCTGTTTTTTACTGGTAATAATATGTTGTTTAGTCTGATTCTCGGACATATGATGTTCCCTTTGGTGAATGTAATTTTATTGGATTTAGTATGGTTAACTTTGATTTGCTATCTATTCATCCAGTCTTGTAGTCGGTTTAGGTGTATTTTAAGGTTTCCTGATGCTACTTGGGGGGTTATCATCGATAGATATTATGGCAATGTCATCTGTAAACATAGCTACTGTGGTCGTATTTGTTTTTGGGAGATTAGCATTGTATATGAGGTACAGGAGGGGACTCACCACACTTGAGGGATACCGGATTTTGTGAGATAGTAATGAGAGGTTTCTGTAAGGAATCTGACCTGATGAGGAGTAGCAAAGGATAACAGTTTATACAGGAGGCCGTCATGCGAAACACGGTTGAAGGCTTGTTCCATATCCAGGAAGGCAGCAGTGCAAACTTTTTTCTCTTCTAGGCATAAGCATGATTTTAATAATCGTATAACATTGTTGTAGAGTTAAATGGTCTTTGCGGAAACCAAACTGGTGTGTTGGGATCACTAAAATGATTTCAATGTCTTCCGAGATTCTTTGGAGTAGAAGTCTTTCTATGATTTTTGGCATTATTGGAAGTAGACTGATTAGTCTATATGGAGTAGTAATATTTGCTGGTTTATTTGATTTACTAATCATAATTAAATTTGTTTTATGCCTGAGCCTACAGCTATAGTGAGTGTTACTGACATTGTAGTAGTTCTACCCCCGCCAATTAAAGATAACAGAGCAAGATATGGGGAATGATTTATTTTAATACAGATTTATCACAATACAATTTACATTAATTGTTACATAATATTATATTGATTTTGGAACCGTATCTGAATATACAATGAGTTAGTTTTTCTTACAAATAAAGGTTGTTTTGGCGAAATGCATTGTCCTTTATCTCCTTAATAGTTGGTCATAGTCTCCTAGGGGGCAAGGAACAGAAACACCTCTGTGAGTTATACTCATATGGACTGTAATCATTGTATCACAATAAAAAACTGCACTAGACGTTGGGCAATATGTATTGTATTTGGTAAAATATAGTATGTGCTTAAATTAATTTTCTAATTCTTGTTTTGATCTTCTTAAGGTACCTTCTCCATTACTGAAAGTTGGTTATAAATACAGCAAATTTCCCTCTAACTTGAGCTGTTCTTAGTATCGAATGTGTGTACATGCCTGTCCAGTCTCTTATATTCTTCAACCAGTAGCACTTTCTTCTTCCTGGACCTCTTCTTTTTTCCACCTTCCCTTCCATTATAAGTCGTAGGAAGTTGTCTTTTTCTCCTTTGTAAATATGTCCTAGATAACTCGTTTTTCTGTTTTTTACAATATTTAGGAGTTCTCTCTCAGTACCCATTCTTCTTAGCACCTCGCTGTTGGTCACGTGCTGTGCCCAAGAGATTTTCAGCATCCTTCGAAAAACCCACTTTTCAAAGGCTTCTATGTGCCTCATATTTGTAACTCCGAGAGTCTGTGCTTTCACTCCATATAGCCGTATAATATGGAATAAATAAACGTTTTTACAAATTGGTATCGAATATCCAACGATAACGTAGAGTTTATTAGGAACTTCCTCATTACTTTTGTTTTATTTTTGTTTATATTTAGTCCCAAGCTATTTCCCTCTCTGGTTATGACATTCGAAAGTAGTTGCAACTTCTCAGCACTGTCTGCAATAATGACGATGTCGTCTGCGTGTTCTTAAGTTGTTTACATATTCTCCTTTGATTTTTATTCCTTCTTCAATATTTTCGAGGGCATTTTAAAAGATCTTTTCGGAATTATATATATATATATATATATATATATATATATATTATATATATATATATATATATATATATAATATATGTATATATATATATATATATATATATATATATATTATATATATATTCAGCAAATAAATACTTCTAGTTCATTATTATATATATATATATATAATATATATATATATTGTAAATGGTAAGGTTAATTGGGTTAGCAGCTGAATAATGAAAGCCAAAGTGTGCTCTTTTCAACGACTTCGTTATATTTCGTTAAATTTCTTTAACGTCTTCAGACGTATGTTGGTGTGCAAATGTTGTCACTGTTGCCTGCAACCTCACACAACATTGTCTGAAGATGTTGACAAAGACAATTTACCGAAATATGACGATGCAGTGGAAAATGAGACACTTTGGCTTTCATTATTCAGCTGCTAACCCAATTAACCTACCATTATACTAATTATATAATTAGACAGCTGTGATATAATCTTCACTATATATATATATAATATATATATATATATATATATATATATATATATATATATATATTGTTGTACTTTTGAATGTCCATTAGCAATAAAAAACCGATATACAAATTTTATTACTTAAATAAAAATTAAAATTATTGATATTTCATAAAGACACGGGCATATAAATTTTCAAACATCCTGTATAAGACAAAATGTGTATTTTAAGTTGTTCGAAGAATTGTTCATTAGGCCTCAGAGACAAGACTTTCAAATATTATCGATAAGAAATTTAAATAAGTCGGTTATTGTGGAATGGATTTACCCAGAATAAAAGTGTATATAGACAGTGTTTAAACAATAGACCGGGATTATGCGGTGGTTTTTCTCCCCGAAAGATTATATCGGTAAAAGTTTATATAACAAAAGACATTGAATTGAGAAACAGGTATCGTTTGTAGCTATTAGTAAGAAATATTGTAAAGCAGATAGATTTAGTTAGAATAATTAAAGAATGTTGTTTTCTGGAATTACCCGAATGACGTTTTATAAAGAGAGTTGGTTGGTAACGATATACGTCACAGAGGTGGATGATTTTTATTGGTCAATTTTTGGAATGCAATGGAGGTAGTGGTTTTGGCTATGAGATAGGAGAGAGGAAAAAAGTTAGTTAGTCAGTTTTCGATCGCCCAAGAAGGAAGGAGCTTTGTGGTTTGTGTTTGTTTGAAGTCCCGAAGACGTAATTTACCGGGTGTGTTTATTTGCTGTGTAAAAGCTGATCAGTGTGAGGAACGGGGTACAGAGAGATAGAAAAACCAAAAGGATATAAGAATATTAATATCAGACGAAGCCGGAAACATTTGAAGTTATAAACAGGCGCGAAGATTCGCTCAAAAGGAGGCGGCATAGAGTTGTTGGGTTGCAGATACAAGGACAGATAGGAGAAAGGTGTACGTCATCTGGACCACAATAGAAGCAGAAGCAGAGAAAGGTTTTTTTTTTATGGCGTGGCCATAGAATTACAACGCAGAGAACGAAAGGTCAGTCAATTTTCATTAGAGCAGGAGTGTGTTTTCATTTATTAATTAAATAAATTGAATAAATAATAGAGACAGTTAATTTTGCGATCATTTAAAGAAAAAAATTATAAAGAGAGCTTAGTTATAACACATATTAAAAATCAATGTAAAATAACATTTGGGTCCATGATAGAAAACAACTTCTCATATATTTAAAGTATTATATTGCAAATATTACAGCATTGATTGTCATATAAAATTTCATTAAAATAAAGGACATCTCACATATAGTTCAGTTGAAATTCTGTGTATTTTATTCAGGTCATATTACCTAATCCCAATTAGGAAGCCAATTGGAAAATATTTTGAATCCACGATTAAAGGTAAATAGTACAAGTTAAATAGCCTGAGATTTGTAATTAATTAATGCTGATTTATTGTGATTAATTGGAGATTATATCATTTAATAAATATAGACAGGATCTTTTCTAAATAAGCAATAGAATACAATTTAAATAGCATAATCAATATACTATATATATATATAATATATATATATATAAATATATAATATATATATAAAATATATAATATATAAAATAATAGTGGAGAAAGTACACAGCCCTAACGAACTCCTCTTTTTATTGGCAATTCTGCTGTCAGACGATTGTCTATTTTGATGGACGCCATTTGTTTCCAACATAGTTTTTTAATGAGTACTACAGTGTTATGGTCTATACCATGTTGTTAATTACTATTTATAACTGGGAATAAACCACAATTAAAGATGAAAATTGGTTATTGACGTTTCAATTTCCACTTCGGAAATCGTTCTCAAAATACAAACAGTAAATTAAACAAATTTTGTTTTTTCATAATTCGACCGTCTTTCTCACCAAAAAG